CCAGCTCCGAGAGGAAGTGGCCATACTACTCAGTAAAGGTCACCTCCGAGAATTCCTCAGCGATTGGGCCAAAAACCAGTTTTGGGAAAGAGAAGCGGCCAAGAAGAACGAAGCGAATGAGCCACAACATATCATCCACATGATCTTGGGAGGCATTGATGCCCCACAAGAGCCTATGATGAGAAGAACAAAAATATCCATCACCAAAGAAAAGCGAACTCAGGATTGCATACCCGAGGACACCCTCACATTCAGTGACGAGGACATCGAGACCTTGTCTTAGCCCCACAACGACGCACTGGTAATCTCTTTTCTTGAAAATAAATTTCAGATTAAACGTGTACTTGTGGATCCAGGCAACTCGGCCAACATTATCAGGTCGAGGGTGGTAGAGCAGCTCAGACTGCTTGATCAAATCGTACACGCCTCTCAAGTCCTTAATGGATTTAACATGGCGAGCGAAAGAACAAAAGGGGAAATCACCCTTTCAGTCAACGTGGCCGGCACAATCCAAAATGCCAAATTCCATGTCATCGAGGGGGACATGAGGTACAACGCGTTGCTCGGAAGGCTGTGGATACACTGCACGAGAGCAGTACCATCCACCCTCCATCAAATGATGAAATTTCCCACGAAGGATGGGATTAATACCGTCTGTAGGGAACATCATGCAGCGAAAGTAATGTTCGCGGTACACGATGTGGCCCCAGCACTGGTACCTCCACCTTCAAAAGAGCCAAAGGATAAGCAAACAGTAAAATAGCAATAACAAACTACACTCCTAGATATCCCTGACTAAGCCTAGCAGGAAACTGTACTGCGTCCTCATCACAGGCGACTGAAATGTATCAGGGCCCGAAACATCACCGACACACTCTACGCTAAGGTATGACTGTATTCTCTCTCTTTTACTAATATTTTATCCATTTTGATATTTTCTTTATATTTTTCACATAACTCTATAAACCAGTTTTGTAGAAATTTTATTCGAGCTCCTAGAGTATCTGCTAGTTCTGCTTCATTCCAATTTTTTATTATTTTTGAGCTAAACGGTTCTGGTAATTTTGTAAAATATAATTTTCTTATCTCCTTACTTTCATCCGGACTATATGTTCCTTTATAATAATAGTCTCTAAATGCACAAGTATATTCGTCTATATAACACATATTACATATTGCTAATTTTGTCATTAAATTTCTATTTGTAGTCTTTTCTTTATTTTGTTCTTCTACTTCTGTTGTCATACTACTAAATTCATTTCTTATTGCTATTTCATATTTATTCAATATATCTGTAACTGTTGTTGCAGCTGTACCATGAAGTTTTTTATTACTTCTTAATGTATCTAAGCTTTCACTTGATAAATTATGTAACCATAGTTTTACCGTTCCTATGAGTGTTCTTTCTATATATCCTGATGTTTCAACTATTACTATTTTATTATCTATTAGTTGTTTTGAGATATACCCTATCCATAATTGGATTGTTTTATTTATATCTGCCACACAATCTAGATCTAAAAAATTACATTGTTCAGTTATCTGTCTTGGTGTCCATTTCCTATTTAGCCTTTTATCCCATAATGTTTTGTTTCTATCATATGAATCACAACTTACTCTATAATAGGTTGTGTTTAGTTGTCTTGCATTTTTTACTCCTGATGTGCTTGGTTTATCCTCGGCCATATCTCCTTTGTTTATTTCTGGATTTGTTTTTATCTTTTCTGTTTTTTCTATAAGTTCTGTGTACGTTTCACTTGTTTCTGAATAGTTTTCTCCTAGATCTTTGTCGTTATCACTTTGGTTATTTATCTCGTTTATGCTTATATTTGGTGGATTATCCTGTACTTCTTCTAACTGTAATTTAAATTTTTCTATCTCATTTGTCAATCTTAGCTCTTGTTCTTCTTCTTTACGTTTTTCTTCTTCTTTTAGTTTATTAGTATATAGCTGTTTTAGCATTTCTAATTCTTTTTCTAATTCTGTTATTTTAGTGTTTTTTACTTCTTCTATCTGTTGTATTTTTTCTTTAGCTTGCTGTTGTATTTCTTTTATTTCTCGTTTTCTATCTATTTCTTCGTTTTCTTTTGTTATTCTAACCATTGCGGTTAAACTATCTTCTAGTTTTACAGTTTCTTTTTCTAACATTAAGTTCAGGTTATTTCCTATTTTCTTGTATCTTCTTCCTAAGTTGGAAAATATTATTGTTATTTTTAATCCTTCTGGATTTTCGTATGTTTTCTCTTCTAGTGCGAACTCTTCTTTATTCATCTTTTATTTTTAATATGGAAAATATATTTATATTCTGTTTTAGATATTATATCTATTAATTCAGACAACCTAGCTTTGTTTATTTTTGTAATACTAAGGTATTCATATTCTAGGTATAGTTTTTTCAGTTTCTTCCTTATTTTCCTTGATTTTTTAGTTATTTTAATCTGTGTATTTTCTGTAATTGTCTCACTGTTTATGGGTATTTTTTGCGGATTTGTACTATTAAAGTCAGTGTTATTTTCCATAATTTTACTTCTTAAAATAAATGTTTATTTATCATAGCTCTGATACCAATGTTGAGTAATGTTTTAGTGTTTTTTACTTCTTCTATCTGTTGTATTTTTTCTTTAGCTTGCTATTGTATTTCTTTTATTTCTCGTTTTCTATCTATTTCTTCGTTTTCTTTTGTTATTCTAACCATTGCGGTTAAACTATCTTCTAGTTTTACAGTTTCTTTTTCTAACATTAAGTTCAGGTTATTTCCTATTTTCTTGTATCTTCTTCCTAAGTTGGAAAATATTATTGTTATTTTTAATCCTTCTGGATTTTCATATGTTTTCTCTTCTAGTGCGAACTCTTCTTTATTCATCTTTTATTTTTAAGATGGAAAATATATTTATATTCTGTTTTAGATATTATATCTATTAATTCAGACAGCCTAGCTTTGTTTATTTTTGTAATACTAAGGTATTCATATTCTAGGTATAGTTTTTTCAGTTTCTTCCTTATTTTCCTTGATTTTTTAGTTATTTTAATCTGTGTATTTTCTGTAATTGTCTCACTGTTTATGGGTATTTTTTGCGGATTTGTACTATTAAAGTCAGTGTTATTTTCCATAATTTTACTTCTTAAAATAAATGTTTATTTATCATAGCTCTGATACCAATGTTGAGTAATGTTTTAGTGTTTTTTACTTCTTCTATCTGTTGTATTTTTTCTTTAGCTTGCTATTGTATTTCTTTTATTTCTCGTTTTCTATCTATTTCTTCGTTTTCTTTTGTTATTCTAACCATTGCGGTTAAACTATCTTCTAGTTTTACAGTTTCTTTTTCTAACATTAAGTTCAGGTTATTTCCTATTTTCTTGTATCTTCTTCCTAAGTTGGAAAATATTATTGTTATTTTTAATCCTTCTGGATTTTCGTATGTTTTCTCTTCTAGTGCGAACTCTTCTTTATTCATCTTTTATTTTTAAGATGGAAAATATATTTATATTCTGTTTTAGATATTATATCTATTAATTCAGACAGCCTAGCTTTGTTTATTTTTGTAATACTAAGGTATTCATATTCTAGGTATAGTTTTTTCAGTTTCTTCCTTATTTTCCTTGATTTTTTAGTTATTTTAATCTGTGTATTTTCTGTAATTGTCTCACTGTTTATGGGTATTTTTTGCGGATTTGTACTATTAAAGTCAGTGTTATTTTCCATGATTTTACTTCTTAAAATAAATGTTTATTTATCATAGCTCTTATACCAATGTTGAGTATGTTGATCATTAATCTGAATATAAGTCTAGTTCATATAAATCTAAGATATCTATAATGTTGAGTAATGTTGATCATTAATCTGAATATAAGTCTAGTTCATATAAATCTAAGATATCTATTTCTTCTGATAGAATTAGTTCCGTATGTCCTTGTTCCATTATGTTAATTATTTCAAAAGAAATTAAAATATCATAAATTTTTCTCCTAATGTCGTTATTAAGTTGGTTCAAGGTATATAACATGAGTATTTTGTAATCATTATTGTTATCTAGTAAATAAGTGGGGTTGTTCATAAGATATTATTATTTTTCCGTATTATTCTTATCATGTGTTTACTAAATATATTCCCTCTAACCTCTTTGTTTATCATAGAGTTCATCATGTTTTAATAAGTTATACTGAACAATCTTTTCTGGTTACTACCATGTTTTTCTTGCTTCAATCATTTTCCCTAACAGCGCCTCAACTTTGTCTACTCCCCTAAACGGCTTCCATGCCTACCGGTTTCGACCTTAGGATGACATAGTCTAGGCTTAACTACTCTCAGCATTGTTAGACATGACAAACTTTCTCAAGATGTTCTTTATAACAGTACTATAACATGATAAACAGTTATGATATTCAAGAGATTATTAGGAATATAAAAGTTTAGTGAGACATGATTATGAATAAACTTACTTGTTCTTGTAACTCGTTTGAATGTTCCATAGTTGAAAAGGACTTTGTATATAACTCAGATATTTCTTAAGAGAGAGAAGATAATAGAGAGAAGGTGAGGGTGTTTCCTCTCTTCCTCGGATTTACAAACTATATATAGAAAATTTAAACGACTCTTACTGTTCACAAATGACTCTTCATGAACGACCTTTACTGTTCATGAATATGACTCGTACTATTTACTTTACGACTTTTTTTACATGACTATTACTATTCATGAACGACCTTTACTGTTCATGAATATGACTCGTACTATTTACTTTACGACTTTTTTACATGACTCGACTCTTTACATTATTTGTTTTCAATAGCTGTCTTCCTCATTTGTCTTCTTGCTGATATCTTCATTCCAGTTGGACTTCTGGTACATGGTTATCTTCTCCGTTGCATTTTGAACATATATGATCTGGGTATTTGTGTCCTACTAGTTTGCAGTATCTTGTCAATAATTCATTGGAAATAAATCCTTTCTTTAGTGCTCTTGTAGTTGACTGTATCCCTGGTTTTAGTAATGATAAAATTCATTTTTGGACTTTATCCATATCTCCTTGTCGTAGTTCTCTTGAATTAGCATATATCATTAGCTGGTCTCTTGAGTAGTAGCTCCAGATAGCATTTTCTTGTAAATAATTGTTGGCTAGCTCTTGGATAATAGTTGCTATGCCAATTATTCTTTTATTGGCATAAAAACCTGGTATCTCAATTTTCGGTATTTCTGGTTGTTGTTCTATTTCTTCTGGTATTATCATATCTCGTGTCAAGCCTATTTTTACAACTTGTATAATAGGTTTTATTTCATCATATAGTATCTCAGCTGGTGCTGTATAGAATTTTATAAAAAATAAGTTTCCTTTTGTAATTCTTTTGAATGTAATAAATGCTTTGTATAGCTCTGGTATTCCACTTATCTCTTCCCCATCATAGGTATATACCGTGCTAAGTAATCCATAATTGTAATATATTTTTACTAAATTGGCTCTAGTTTTTGGCTGTGCAATAAGCCTATTATATCCTTGGAGTTTTTGGTAATCCTGTGTTGGATCTGTGGTAGTAGTTGCTCTGGGGTTCAAGTTTAGAAATGTTTGAATTTTGTATATATTCTCAATATAAGTTTGAGTAATATGGTTGTATATTTTTTTGTTTGGGTGTAGGCTGTTGGCATAGGTTGAGGTTTGTGGTGTCGTAACTATTGTTTCTTTTCGCCTTTTCGGAGTAATTGGTTTATCAAATATGTTGTTTAAATTGACATTGGTATGTGGCTTCTTGTTAAGCTGTTTACTTGTACCTGCAGCTGTATATAAACCAACCGTGTTATGGGTTTTTTGGAGTTTCCCAACGTCTCCTTCTAACTCTGGAAGTTTTGAGTCTTCCGATCGACTTAGCTCCGCATTTTTATAGTCATGCTGCTGACTTGACTGGCTTTCCTCTAGCTGTTGTAATCTTTTTCCCATACCATCCATCTGTAAAGATAGAGTAGTAAGGATTGCAAATATATCTTTTGTTTCTTGGCTTTCATCAGTTTGGGTACCTTTGTCTTGATAGGTAGTCTGCAATAATATTTTTGTCAGTCATTATTACTTCAATTGTAAATGTAAAATTCTGTATATTTAATACAACTCTTCTTATTCCCTTCGTAGTTACTGAATCTTGTACTTTTCGTGTTATCTACCATTTTACTTGTGTATTATCTGTTCTAACAATAAACTTGTTATAAACGATATATGGCTCAAATGCTAACAAACATTTATATAATCCAAATAGTTCTTTTCTATCTATCTCCCAATTTAATTGTGGTTCCGTGTATGATCCTGAATAATATCTACAATGGTGTTCAATCTTTTCATTATCATATTTATATTTTAGAACTCCTCCGTAGCTGTGATCGCTAGAATCAGTTTCTACTATGTACGTGAACTGTCTTTTTCATCTGGAAAATATAGTTTTGGTAATATTTTACACATATTTTTTATTTTCTTTATATGTATTTTATCTTTTTCGTCAAAATGGTATTTTACATCCTTTTTTAATTTTTTCTGTAATGGTTTTAAGTTTTCTGCTAATTTAGGGATATATTCTCTTACTTGGTTAACCAATCCCAAAAATGATTGTAACTTCTTTTTTGTATCAAGTGTTTCATTTAAGTTAATTATTTTTTGTACTATATGTGTTTGCATTTTTATTCCATTTTTATCTATTTGTATACCTAAGAATTCTATTTGATTTTTCATTACTTCTGCTTTCTTTTTACTCAGACTAATTCCTGATATTTCTACAATGTGTATGAATTTTTCTAGTAATTTTATATGTTCGTTCTCTGTTTTCGAATATAACAGTATATCATCTATATATATTATACAATTTTCTAATTGGTTAAAATAGTTATCCANTACAGGGTAGTAAACCACCAATGTGTTTTTGTTATAATATGTGGGTACAACTTATCTAAAAATGGCATTCCTAATAATATATCCTTATTTGTGAATTCATAACTATATATTTCTTCTATGGTTAATATTTTATCCCATATTTGTATTTTTAGATTCCTTGCTTTGTATATTATCATACTTCCCTCATTGTTAAATCTTGTACTATGGGGTTTTTTAGTTTTTCCCATTTACTTTCCGGTAGACAATTATACCTACACATGTTAGCTTCTGCTCCTGTATCCATCATAGGTGTATAATATCTATTATAATATCCTTCTATTATTATTTTGGCAAGTATATATATTTTTGGCATTATATTAAGGTTCTTTT